AAGGCCGTTGTGCTGATATTTTTGCGTCACTAGCGAAGGCCAAACGCTGTACAAAGATTGGAAATGCGTCAGCGTTCGGCTTCGAGTGAAGTTTGAGCCGAACGTTGACGCAATCGTCGTGTCCAATAGAATGGCGCAGACAGGGTCGAAGCTTATGGAGCTTCAATCCCCCCGCCCCCCCCCCCCCCCCCCCCCTCTTCCCTTGAAAAAAATTCCCGGATACGCCACTGGCCCAATCTGTGCCCAGCGTTGGCCTTCTTTGATGACACCGTCTCATTCAGCACCACGGCTTTGTTATCTAGGAGGTGTTGGCCGAGAGCGCCAACACTTAACGAGGTATGTGAATGTGAGTTCAATCCTATCATCTCAAGAACTCAGAAGACGCGGTAAGTCAAGGGCACACTTTCGGCGATGGGGCGGTGGCGCCATCTATGTTTGCGTCTATCGCCGTTTCAGTCAGACTGGAGCGCGTCGCGTTGAAGGGAGCAACCGAGAAAGTCAGCAGATAAGAAATTTCTGCAGAAACCACTAATGTTGGTGTTCTATGAATTTCGATAGCATTCGTCTAGGACAACCTCAAGGACGACGTCTAGGACGACTTCAAGGTCGACATCTTTAAAGGACAACTCCGGTCCATAGTTTCGATTTTGGAATTATGACTGTTTTTAGCGCAGTCAACGTCCCTGAATTACATGGTGTTTTTTTTTTTTTTGTTTTTTTTTTTCTCGGTATTGCGCGTAGTTTGAAAGATATCGACGCCTCAAAGTTTTGTTTGAGGCGCGGTCGACAAAACCGAAACTAGCCGCTCGAGGTCCCGGCAACGCTGGAAATCAGCCGCTTGGCAGACTTGACGTCACTGTCGTTCTCGTTCAACGAGTACGCGGTCCAAGCGGCACCTGCCTCTGTGTCACTAGCCGTTTAAAGATAAAAGGTAAGCTGCTTTCGTTTTAATTCTGTATACCTGGTAGATGTCCAGCATATGTAGCAATAGTTAGTGCGTATAGACCGGCACGCTGTTTACAACCAAGCCCGCGTTTGCCCACATCAGGTGTGGGCACTGCGCGTGCGCACAAACCACATTCGCGTGAAGCGAAGCGTCCGCGCATACGCAGTGCCGTCGACAGCGCCACCGCAGCTGCGTGACGTCAAGCCCGCGTGTCGGTCTTGGCAGGCGAGTGAACTCGTTCGGTGCCGGCGTAGGACGCCGATCTCACTATCCCTTCGCTTCGACTACGGGAGTGGTTATGCCGTACGCCAAAATCAATACCGTAGTCGTTTATTTCGCTAAAACGGCCCAAGTAACTTTCTGTGGCAAAATAGCCTGATTGTTTGTTGCTGTTTGTATGAGCAGTGGAACGCGCGCGCGCGGCAGGCGTTGATTAACTTTGTACCCGGTGGCCGTCGCCGTGCGCGCGCTTGTCCGTGCACGTACGTTGGGACTGGCCCCCAGCGCGAAAGCGAGAATCCTACATACAAACAGCAACAAACAATCAGGCTACTATGCCACAGAAAGTTACTTGCGCCGTTTTAGCGAAATAAACGACTACGTAGTCGTTTATTTCGCTAAAACGGCGCAAGTAACTTTCTGTGGCAAAATAGCCTGATTGTTTGTTGCTGTTTGTATGAGCAGTGGAACGCGCGCGCGCGGCAGGCGTTGATTAACTTTGTACCCGGTGGCCGTCGCCGTGCGCGCGCTTGTCCGTACTCGTACCTAGGCTTCTCGCTTTCGCGCTGGGGGCCAGTCCCACACACGAAGCTTTGGGGCTCTCCGGCGCGGGCTGCGGCGTCCGAACACGCGTGTGCTGGGCTGTATACGTTTGTTTATTCGCTTTTTTTTTTTTCCTCAGGCGCGTAAAAAGGGAGTTTGTAAGTTACGACACTGTAATTTACCACATAAGTTCGTCTAGGTAGTGGATCTAATTTGTGAAAATATCAAAGAAAAGGCTTGCCGCACTCTGAAGTCAAACAACAAACACACACACACAAAAAAAAGCTTGTGATTGGAGCTAGTTGCCGGTTGTAGTCCTACATGCCTATTATTCCCATTCAACGGAGCGTGAATGCTCCATGTTCAACAGTGCATTTGACAATGACTGCTTTATTGATCGGGTTACTTTTATCATGTTTACCTTTTGTGTAAGACATGCCACTTATTATTGTGAAGTTTATTGCTATGCTGACTGCATGTTTTACCTCACGTCTTCAGTGTGGTTCGGCTGGAATCATCATTTTCACTAATTTAATGCAGAGCGTAGATCGACAACCCAGAAATGTTTTCTTTTCTTTTTTTTTCTTTTTTACACCTGAGCTGTTAAGGGCTAGGTTCCCCAGGATCGTGTCCATGTATGTTGACACAAACCTACCTGGACAGCTACCGCCATCTATAAGCGACGGCGGCAAGCACACATCCAGTGTGGTTTCCTCCGTCGCTCGTAGATGGCGGCAACCTTTCCAGCTATAATAGAAGAATCGATAGTTGGCCGCGTTGGTGGGAATTCACCGTAGGAAACAGCGCGAACAATAGACGACGACGAAGGAGAAGCACACAGTGTATCGAGTACAGCTCCGCTGGTCTTCCTTCTTCACAAGAGTGGAAAGGCTGAACAATTTTATCTCTGCTGCCTTTCTCCATGTGGAATAAATAAAGCGTTTGATTTTGAATCCCCACCTCAATGTCGTGTGCCAATTTCCAAACTGAGCGGGCTTCTTTTTTTTTTTTTTTTTTCAGCAGGCACGTTGTTTAGTGAGACATCGAAGACGACGATAGCTTTAACTAGAGTGTACCTTAACCCATATGCACATGACCCACTGCCACGTGCTAACGAACTTCGCAGGAAGAGTGCTTCTGTCTGACACCACGATGCGCGCGAGTGCGCACCGAGTTGCTCGCTGAAACGAGTCTTGGAGTCCTCACAAGCAAATAAACAAAAGGCTATACCGAAGCTAAGCGGGCTACAGATAAAAGCAACGGCTAAACACGCCAAGCACCAGCCGAAGTAGCGGTGGTAGCGACTCACAGTAGCGCACTTTACGCCGCTCGACCGCGCAACGGGCCAGCCTAGGGTGCCTACATGTTTCCGCCGCTCCGCTGTTTAGGGTGGCGACAACGTTTGTGATACCTGTTGCCGACAAACCAGTGTTGCCTACCTCGTTACCATGGCAGCCTCCGCTGTTTCGTCGACCATTTTGTCACACTCGTCAGTCGTGCGCTCGCGCTACTCCGCTAATCCTCGTTAGGGCTAGGGAGCGGCCACCGCTCTCGTTCCGACGGCGAGGTTTCGGCGTGCGATGCCGGTCTGTTGCGTTCCATTTTGTCGAGGGGACTCACGTTTCGATAAACGCAACGCATACTTCTTGCTCGCAACTTTAAAGTATGAAACACCCGAATAAGGAGAGCGACAGCCACGACGACCGCCATCCCGCTGAGCCTCCGACTCGTCCGACTCCTCTTATGAACGGAAACGGAAGTGGCCTCACCCTAGGCCAGCCCATCCGGACCGGGGGAAAAAAAAAGAGAAAGATCATGACGTCACGGCCCAAGGTTGCTTTAGCGATCGGTGACCCGCTGGCGGCCCGCTAACGAGCGGCTGCTCGCAGCGGATCGCATTTTTATTATCGGCATTAGTTGGGAATGCGGCGTCCCCTTGACGTATATTTTGGCTAGGGTCGTTTTTTGTGTCACTAAAGCGATACAAGTCATTTGTTTTCTTTTGAATTTTGGCCGGAGTTGCCCTTTAAAGACGACGTCCTAGAGGATGACGTCAAAGACGCTGTCTAGGACGACCTCTGGGACGAAGTCGAGGACGACGTCAACGTCATCAGGTCGTTCGAAGAGGGTGCGAATATGAAGGAGTGTGAGAATCTGAGCTGAATTGGTCTACTGCACATTAGGAGGCCAGAAAGTCCAAGAAACCCAAGGGGGCAGGTAAAGAATGCTAGCACATTAAAGGGGCGATGTAACAATTGTTGTACTTCGCGCAAATACCGCTTAAAACGGATCCCTGACGTTAATGATCTATGAAACACGCGTTCGTTTTTCACCCCACGTAATCGAAGTTCAAAAAAAAAAAAATTAAAGAAAAACGAGCACCCTTCACCCCCTCGACTCGCAGCCAGGGGTGATTGGTGACCGAGTGGGCTAAACCGCACACCCAGCTCGACGCGCGTGGAGCGAAAGCTCGCGTTGCAGAACCCAGAGATCCTGGGCTCTAGCCCCACCCCTGGCCGTTTCGATCTGGATGAGCATCGTACCGGCGTGCGGTCGTGTATCACTACTGCGTGAGCATGGTAAAGACCCCAGGTTAGCAGTCGTTCTGCACTGGCAAAATTGCTCATCTACAGCTGGTGTAAACCAGTGTCATCTCATCCTGGCAGACCGACCTTACGTAGTATAAAGCACTAAAAACGTCAAAATAAACTCGCAGCCAGAACAAGCGGTCACGTGATCTGGAGCCAATTATATGCCGCCAATCTTGATCATAGCCACACGCTGGGGTTGGCAAAGCACAGGATACGCGCTGAGTTTCAGACATTGTTATGGGTCGGCTATTGTCGTCGTTGCAGCGATTGGACACGGGCCACTATTCGAATGCACGGCGAGGCATCGATTGTCACGAGCCCAGATCGGATCCGTACGCAGTCTTTGCGTCCACTGTGTTAGCAGCATTTGAATATTGTCACCGCAAAGCTCGATGACGCATTCCCGAGGATCGTACTGTTGCCATTGTTCCCACAGCTCCGTCATCAAATTTCGCGAAGGGGCAAAAGGTGGCGTTGGAAGGAGAGACTGAAAGAAAAGCTCCGCTTTCATCCTTTTAAATTCCGCCGCGACGAAGGGTGTCGAATGATCGACACCCGTTAATCGACTAAGTAATCAATTAATTGGTTTCGTTCATTCCAATGCATAATAGTTTTTATATTCGGCGCTCTGACGACGCCGCACACTCTAGCCTCCTCCTGTCCATCAGTCCCTTTCCGTAGAGTAAAGCAATCGAACTCACATTGTCAATAGCAATGATGCCGTTCTTTCTGACCAGCTGCAAACTCTTCTCGTAGTAGACGTCGCAATCATCCTTGTCCGCGTCGATGAAAACAAAGTCGAATGTTCCGGCTTGGCCTTCCGCTATTAATGCGTCTGAAATTGATCGGTTTTGGGAAGAAATTAGGGTGCTCGCTACCACCCTTTGCTTTGCGGCAGGTAAAGAAATCAGTGATCTATAAACTTGAAGCCAATCGCAGCCACCGGTGTTCATGACGTACCGACTGTAAGGTGGAAATTCTTTTAATATGGAAGACGGTCGTGATATATTAGCAACGAGGGAGCAAGGGGCTTCATCGAGGCCGACAGACACCCTTGCGTACGGGTTCTAACCATCGTGCACAGATACGCACCACCTCCTGGGCCATCCAGGGTTACTTACTCTCGTACAGAAATTATTATGAGCACAGAAAGTGTCTTATCGGCCTAATTCTTTAAGAAAACCGGCATGAAGAAGCGTCATGAAGAACCGTCATGAAGAACACTGACATATCACGTGATATCATGAGGTCATGCGACACCATGATTCCACGTGACGCCACGTCATCGCGTGACACCCTAAGGTAATCTGACACATTGACGTCACATGACGCCGTGATAAACTATCATAAGGTCACGTGACACCGTTAAGTCACACAGTCATGTGACTTCACGATGGCATATGACATCATGACAAGGCTTCTCACTTTATTAGCGCGTTGCAACGAGCAATGGCATCACTAATAAAATAATTAAAAAAAAAACTCGAGCATTATACGTAAAAATAATCTTAATTTGCAATAAAAAAGGCGCCTGCTTTTTTTTTTACGTTGGAATTATGGTATCATTTGCGTTGGGCCCGGGGAAATGGAAGGGGTGTTCTTGCTTACCCAGCGTCTCTTTGGCTGGCCCGATCCTAGTCTCAATCTTTTGATCCACGTCCGCCTTGAGCAAAACAAGAAAGCGTCAGAGGTTGGTGGGACTTTCATCCTTTCTCTGCTATATTCTAAAATTTACGCGTGATTTATTCTACAAAAAATATGGGTTCAGACGAATGTGAGTTAAGGGGTGTTACGTGCCTTCTCCCAGAAAGGCCGACCGATATCCACGTGGCACTCGTGAAGTTCCAGAGTAACCACTTTGCCGTCAGGGGGCAGCGCCAACGCAGCAGCCATTGCGCTGCACCCAGTGTAAGTACCTGCAGGAACACAACTTCGAGAAACTTTCCGGGAGTCTAGCTTTCATACAAATAAATAAAGCGGGGGAAAAAAAAAAACTCACGAACTCGAAAGAATTGCAAATTGCCCCAGCGTTTAAAGCATAAACTTTGCTGTCTCCGAAGCCTCAATTCCTGCACACCGCGGTACTAAGGCTGACACGATTAAAATATTCTTACTTACCGATTTCGAGATATTTCTTCGCATTTATTGCCCTAAGTAGAAGCTGAAAAAACTGGAGCTCGCATCTGTCTCCCATCATGCCACCCCAGGGCAGACTTTTGGTCAACTGCAAAACACAAGCACGCGAAACACGCATTCGTATTACTCCCGAAGCTTTAGCTACATAATTAAAAAAGAAATAGAGCCAAGAAAACTGCTTCAGAAAATTGCGGTTGCACGGTTAGCAGTGGCAGTGATGCCACTGCTAACCGTGCAAGGCGGGCGAAAGAGACAGAAGAGAGGAAGCAGCACCTATTAGCGGCGAAATGTTTCGGTGGCGCCCTCGTTCGGTTACCTTTCGTGACGTCCTTACCTTGTGAACAGCAAGTTCGATGGTGTTTGTAATGAACATGGGGGAAGCCTGAAATCACAGCGCTCTCAAAGCAGCACTGCCAACACTGTCAAAATTGAAGCACTTAACATTCCTCTTATTTCCAACGATGAGACATCCTTTGCTGATGTCATAGTCAGCATTCGGCCAATTGTGGTGGGCCGACCACAGCGACGCTTTCGATCGCTCACGTCGCCAATACTCTGTTCACTCTTAAACTGAGAGAGACTACAGTCAAAGCTACAAGCGCGAGCTAGCCCGCGCTCCTGGCTTTGAGACGTACATTTTTAGAGCGAGTGCTCGTTCTGTGGATGAATTAAAATAATTAGAGCAAAAATATAACGGAAGATCCATCGTGGATCCGGCGTTAGCATGACTCTTGGGAAACGCTAACACTGATCCCGGTACAAAGGCATAGAAGAGTCAGCAAAAACTTGAGGAAGCAAAATAGAAAGGCAAAACAGAAAAGCGAAGAGGTCAGCGTTAGCGTTTCCCAAAGGGAGACTTGTGTGGCGTTTCCCAAGGGCCATGCTAACGCATTCCCTAAGGATCCACCAATGGATCTTCCTTTTATGTCCTGGATATATCAGTAACAAAGAAACTGAGTGAGCGCTAAAAGCAGTCTTACGTCGATCAGCTCCGCCTGCGCAGGATGAAGGCGAAGGCTGTTATCAGCGGCATACTGCACAGCGTTCTCGTCGGTGTGACCAGCTTTCGGTGGAATGTTGGAGAGATTCTAGACCAGTATAAAACAAAATATAAACATAGTCAGTTGCACTATAGCCCCTGGAGCGCGTCTCTGACTGGTGTGTATATCATGTCCATTTGCGCCCGATGACGTCACTGAGGTTCCACGCGCTTGCTTGTCGCGATCCTGGCGGTGGCACAGCAGCAGAGGTGTGTGCGGCCAATGCCTATCCTGTTACAGGTCGCTCTGCGGCAAGACAGTCGACGGAAACCAAAACAGACACGGGCTGGCACGTCGCGACGGCAGCGACCCTCGCGTCTGCTCGCCGTTTTCGGGTGCATTTCTTCGACCAACCGCCAGGATCGCGGCATCCGACAGAATGACACGACATCTCTTGTGACGTGTTTTGTTGCCACTTAGGAACCCCTTTAGATGTATGAGCGGGATAGGACGGTAAACACACAAGTCTTATAGCCAATTCACACGATCATAAAGGTACCTTTTGCTCCAAGACGTTGACGGTCGGCAACGAATCAGTTCGCGAATCTCCGCGCGTGACAGGTGCTCGCAACCAAGGAGAACGTTTTGACTCGCCGATTGCAAAAGGCCGTATTAATGGGGTTTATAATTATGGTTTCGTCTTTTTCCGAAAAATCTGATAAACTCCGAAAAACACTCGCCGGTAAAATTCTCTACAATTCGGACGTATACGAAAAACTCCGAATTTCGAGATCATGGCAGCAAATTAAAAGCACACACACAAAAAAAAGAGAGGGCTCTACGAATAAAGCTTTTGTCAAAGTTTGTCAACACGTGTCATTAGTGGCAATGAAAAAATCAAAACATGTTTTAGACTATTGAAAAAATGTATTTTTGTTTATCTCGCCACGGTTCGTTCAGTACAATGAACCAATCTGCTTCTGGACCACATCAAAATCCACTGTTCCGGTTTCCAGTGCGGACCATTGTCTTTCGAAACTGTTTTTGTTGTGGTGGTTGTGGTTGCGGTTGTTGTACTTCTAAAAGCCTGTTCACACCCTTGCAACTGAGTAGGACCGACTGAGACAAGACCTGTTTTTAAGCCTCTTGCGACGGCTGAGGACCGGATGCGCTGCTGAGGAACAGGTCCTAAGCCGTGGCAAGAGGCTTAAAAACAGGTCTTGTCTCAGTCGGTCCTACTCGGTTAGAAGGGTGTGAATGGGCCTTTAGAGGAGCGAGGGGTTGTATTTTCATCGCAGTGAAAGATGTGAACCTGCAGATATTATAGAATGGGGAGGGCGGCTGAAGTTTTTTTATGGGACAGTTAGTACAGTGAGTCGCAAGGGCGCCAACGCCAATAGCAGCTGCAGAATTACCTTTCGATACTGTTGTTGTTTTTTGTTGTCGTTGTTTGTTACTGTCACTGTTGCTGTTATGGTTGCTGTTGTTGTTGTTTTGTTGTTGCTGCTGTCGTTGTTGTCGTTGTCGTCGTTGGTGTTGTTGTTGTTGCTGCTGTTTTTGTTAGTGAATGTCTTTGTCCGGACATTATCTAATTTAAAAAAAAAAAATTAAAACAAAGTAAATAAACTTGGAAATTTGAGAATTGGGAATCTTCGAAAAATAATTTCCGCTAAACCCCAAATTTACAACGAAAAAAGAACTCTGAAAAACACCCTCCGAATATCGCGAAAAATTATATCGCAAATACCGCACATGGCGAAAATCGCAAACACTCCGAAAGTGCTTAAAGGGGTACTCCACCGATTTTTTGAGCTACCTTAACTAACTATATTTTCTGACTCCCCGGCCTTTACTCTCTCCGGTATGCTATTTAGAATCGCGAAATTCATAATAGGTATTGTGAAATCGGCAAATAAAAATGATCCAAAAACCAACATTCAAATATTCGCGCACTTTTTAGTGCCGTGACGTCAGTGGCAGGCAGACTTGCCAGTCGAGCAAGCAGCCAAAAAATAGAATATGCCAATCATTTGCTCCGTGCTGGAGCGCGGGTACTGCAGCGAGCTTCCCAAGCATTCATTTGACACCATGAAACGGCTTCGAATCAGTTTAAAACAAAATCTACAGCCCAAACAGTGAACTCCTGCCTTCCACTGACGTCACTTTTTCATTGTTGCCAGTAGAGACTTCGAGCTTGAAAAACACGGTGAGGACCAAAACTGTAAATTCCATAACTTTGCAAAAGAACAATATTTTGACCTAATATTTGGGATACTATTTTCTCGATATTTGTTGGTTAGTTTAGCAAAATTTCAAGCAAATCGGAGACAATGAAAAAACCAGTGGAGTATCCCTTTAATCCTACTTATACGCAGAGTTCCGTGTTTTCGGGCTTTGTTTTCCTTCAAATTCGGGGGGAGGTTTAGGGTTAGTTTTGTTTAAGAAAATCGCTTATCATGGATGCCGGACAAACATCCGGTGTTTAAAGGGCCCTCTGTTGAAGAGAACAAGACACGGGCATGGAATACCCCAACCTTCACTAAACACATTTGTGCACAAAATACTTGGAAAACGTCCAGGTACGAATAAACGAAGAAAACAAGATACGGGGTCTGGTTTTCGAAGAAAAAAGCTGCTTTGCGGACAGTTCGTCGAGACTGTATTTGATGTAAACAAAAAATAAAGTTGTAGTTGCAGATGTTTTCCCGGGAAGCGAGTCTTGCTCAGTGACAAAAAAGCTCCAATTCAGTTTTTCTTTTTTAGTTTTGTTTTTTCAATTTTGATGAAACTGGCTAGGAGCCCCCCCCCCCCCCCCCCCCCCCCCCCCCCCCCCCTCCCCCCAACTAGCTGGTCTCATAGTTTTCCGGGTGTATAGGAAACACGGACTCCCTACCTATAAGATGCGTTCTGGGCACCGTAGTTACACACGGAGTCGTGAATACAAATGGCTCACTATATTGATTTCGACTTTATTATTCTGCTGCAGCTTCCGACCACAAAGACACCGGTAGAGATGAATACCTAATCGACATATTTACCCTGGAGCCGAACGCTTTTGCTCCATCGGTATGGCAGCCGGTAAATGCCTTCCGGAACCACGTTTTGGCATAGTGCGTCACACCCGCACAAGGACAACTGTTTCCAGCTCATCAACGAGCCTGTTTGAAACAGTTTTCATACTAAGTTTTAGACAGTTACAAGCAAAGGTACTCACGACGTTCATTATTCAACCGAACTGCTGGATGGAAGAAGCTTGAGCAGGATATATGCAACGATCCTGGACAGGGGTTCGGCAAACAAGCTTCCGTTACCTCACCTAGCGCAGACTTGTTTTACATGCCTACTGCGTAGGTAGGTCACCAGCTGCCGATGCATGTACAGCTACTGTAGCCAGGTGCAACCTACTTCGGGCTTGAACCGCTATCCCGACGTCATCCGTCTACATTACCTGAAGGGGTTTAATTTTGGTTACCGCCAGAGCGAGATCTGACTTGCCTCCGGCGGAGCGAGTTATAAGATGGCGTTTGCGGACGCTTTGTGCGCTAACGCGAACGAAGAACGCGGTTCGTCTGCTACGAAGACCTCCATGGTACGAAGCAGGGAGGTAGGAAGAAGGGGAGAGAGAGAGAGAGAATATCTTTATTGAAACAGAGAGTTTAGTCTGAGCTTTGCGCTCTAACAGGCTTCTCTGTGGTGGGGAAGGGGAGGGGGGACAGAAAGACGATCGACAAAGGGTCAGTGATGATGAGATGAAACGTTAAAATATATACACGCTATAGTGTCTAGTTTCAGGATGGGATATGAGAGAAAGATGAGAAAAATAATTAAAGCACTGTCAGCAAGTCAATGTCTTCTAGAAATTTAAAGAGAGCTTTTAAGGCTGCTCGTTGTGTCTTAGCAGGCCAAGGTCCGAGGAGCTTTGGTAGATCAAAAGGTCTACAGTCCAGAGCATTCATAGAATTTTTGTAAACTTTGCGTTCATTTTCATATGCTTGACATGTGAGTAGAATGTGTCTGATGGTTTCCGGCGCACCGCATTTTTCACAGTCCGGGGTCGCGCGTTGTTTTATTTTAAAGCGATAGTTCTTCGTGTACGCACAGTTGAGGCGAAGTCTATGTATAAGAGTTTCTAAATTTCGTGGTAGATCGCTTGGTAGTTGTGTTGTTAATAAAGGGTCTATGTCATAGAGAAATTTGTAGTTAGAATCTGGTGAGAACCAAAGCATCTCACGTGCACTTTTTGCTATTTGTCTTGTCAGAGATGTGCAATCGCCTTTCGTAAAAGGAACCATTCGTGTTGAGATGTGCTGGTGGGCCCTCTTGGCTGATTTGTCAGCGCATTCGTTACCCCGTATACCGGAATGTCCTGGTATCCATTGAAAGGTTATTTGGTGACCGTATTCGAATGCTAGGTGGTGGTACTCAGCTATTTCTAGGGAATAAATCGAATACATTGATTTCTTTCCAATAGGACTGAGCGACTGTAAAGCGCATTTCGAATCTGTAAATAAGGTCCATTTTTGTGGTGGTTGTTGGCATATATACTTGATTGCTTCTTTAATTCCGTGAAGCTCAGCGGCTGTTGATGATGTATGATGGTTTAGACGACAAGATCTTGCAAGAAATCTCGATGGAACGAAGAATGCTGACGATGAAGTCGTCGCCGTCGTTGAGCCATCGGTATATATGTGCGTTGTTCTAGTGTAAGTTTCATATATGTAACTCATTACAAGTTGTAGCATAACTAAGCTACTCTGTTGGTGCTTTGCGAGGATTCCGGGGATGTTTAGTTTAATATCCATTTTTCGAAGCGTCCATGGAGGTATTTTGGAGTAGTCAGTAAAAGTTGCCTGCTTTGGAATATTGTCAATATTTCGACCTAAAGTATCCCCATAGCTGGAGTTTGGACGTTTTATGTGTATTTTAGAAAGATAGTGATTCTTATGCTGAGTTTTATGGCGTAAATGAATTCGTACTATTTCTTGTTTCTGTAATACTTCCAAAGGAAGGCATCTGGCTTCTGCTACCGTGCCAGGTCCAGATGAACCTCTTGGTAGACCAAGGCAGATTCGAATGCATTTGTTAAGCGT